GGCTGAAGCAGGAGAATTGCTTGAACCTGGAAGGTGTGGAGGTTGCAGTGAGCTTAGATTGCACTATTGCACTCCAGTCTGGACAATAAGAGCGAAACTCTGTCTCAAAAAAAAAGGCCGGGCACAGTGGCTCAAGCCTGTAATCCCAGCACTTGGGGAGGCCGAGGTGGGCGGATCACGAGGTCAGGAGATGGAGACCATCCTGGCTAACACAGTGAAACCCCGTCTCTACTAAAAAATACAAAACATTAGCCGGGCGTGGTGGCAGGTGCCTGTAGTCCCAGCTACTCAGGAGGCTGAGGCAGGAGAATGGCATGAACCCGGGAGGCAGAGCTTGCAGTGAGCCGAGATGGTGCCACTGCACTCCAGCCTGGGCAACGGAGCGAGACTCCGTCTCAAAAAAAAAAAAAAGTATGAAAAGCAGACAGTGCTTAGCCAGTCCCTTTCCCAGCTCTGTGGGGCCATAAGGCTCAGCCCTGCTGCCCACACCATGAGTGCTGTTCCAGGCCCCAGCTCTAGCCAGAGTTGGGATGTTCTGGCCACTCTCTGCCCCCTATAGTTCTGGTGTTCAGCTCTGAATTTAAGCCAAGCCCCCTCTAGTCCCTCACCTTGCCCCTGGCTCCCCGATGGTGTGTGTGTCCAACACGTCCCAGCTCAGGCCTCAGCAGCTGCCCCTCACTCACCACCTGCTCCTTCCCACCCCACCCAAGGCCCCAGGGCAAGCAGGGCTCCTGTCAAGGCCAGTAGGGTTTCCTGGGTCAGACTCCGGGGGCCCCAAGGGGTGAGGGGCCAGGCTTGGCAGCGGGCTCGCAGGTGTTGGCCTCGGTCCCACTGTTGGCTGTGGTGGAACGTGCTTATCAGTGTCCTGATCTATGTTGACTCAGGGTCGTGGGTCTGGGACCAGGCTGCCAGCTGACCAGTGAGAGGAGCTGCATTTGGCCTCAGCAGGTCACCTCCTGTGCCAGTCACCTCACTGGAGCCCACGGCAGGGGAGGCCAGGCTGGACTGAGGTGGGGTCTGGGTGTGGCCAGGGCCCTGACTGCTTTCTGGTCAGAGGCCACAAAAGTGCTTGACTGAGAAAAGGGCAAGAGGCCTTCCGTGAATGCCGGACCCATCTCCCAAGATCAAACCATGACTCAGTTCTGGGACGGGCCCGGCAGCTGGATCCAGCACACTATTCTGCCTTCTGGGATGTGGGGAGGGGTCCCAGGGACTGTACCGGTTCCGCCATGGACATGGGGAACCCAGAACTGAACTGGGAGCCTGGGGAGCCGACCTGGGAATGACTGCCGGCCACCCTTCCCTGTCCTCCCTGTGCCCACCCCACACCTTCCTGCCCTGCCTGTGCCCACCTCACCCCTTCCAGAGCCAGGTCAGGCTGGGGCCACTGGACCCTCCTGCCGTCCTCACCAATCGCAACTGTCAGGCTGCTTCCTGAAGTGTTGGACTCGGTCTGTGAGAACGGCCAGTTCTCCCTCACTGCGGCCTGCAGACCCTCAGGTACCAGGAGTGGGAGAGGGGTCTGTGCAGAGCAAGATGAACCCTGCAGGAGGCAGAACTGCCCTGGGCCAGCCTGCACCAGCCCCAGCATGTCAGAGCCCTCAGGGGCCAGGAGTTCCCCACCTTGTGTCCCAGGCTTGGCAGAGGCCATGTGTCTCCATGACAACAGTTAGCTGCGGTGTTGGGCAGAAACTGGGCTGTGGACTTCAGGGTGGACTCCGGGGTGGACCCTCACCATGGCTATGGGCAGGGGTCCTTTGGGGGTAGAAAACTGGAGGCCTGGAAAGGGCGTCAGTGACCCCATCACTCCACATAGAGACTGGGAAGCTAAGGCCAGAAAGGGTAGGGTGGAGTGGATGTGAGGCTGGTCTGTGGTACCCAGTCTCAACTCCGTGTCTGACCCCTGACCCCAAGGGTCTCGCCTGCTTCCTGAGTCCTGCTTAGGTGCACAGAAGCAGCAGGATAGTGGAGGGAAGGGTGTGGAGAGCAGACGGGCCCTCTGGGTCGCTTGGCACCTCTGCTCCTGTCCTCTGCCCCGTCAGTGTGCTGGGAGCTCAAGGGAGCTGCCAGGAGACCACTGTGTGTCCCTTGGTCCTGCTTAGGGCTCCGCCTCCACCTTCAGTCCTTGGCCGCCCTCTCCCTCTCACCAGTGCTCATCTGTAACACCAACCCTCTGCCGGCCCCCGGCACAGGCTGGGTTGTGTGGGGCTCCCAGGCTCCCTCAAGTCCCTGTCCCTCCTACACCCACCAGCCACCAAAGCTGGAACCCTGGCCACATGGCCACACCCAGCAGCCTGGGCTGCCTCGCAGTCCTGGCTCCCTCTGTTGCAGTGCCCCGCAGCCCTCCCTAGGCTGGCTCCAGCCCTGGACCATCCTCCCCAACCACTGCCTGCTGTCCCAGGCTGGCGTCCCCACCCACACCCTGTCCCCAGACAAGCTGGTAGCTCTGAGCATGGCATGGGGGGGTGCTTCAAGGCCGGGTTCCATCCTGGGACAGGTGGCTCACCACCAGGCCAGTGTGAAGAAGCCTGGAGCTAGGCCCAGGGTCCTGGGGGAGCAGCCGCGGCCCAAGACCCCCAGCGCCCAGGCCATACCATGTTCCCTGGGACCGGCCCCGAAGTTGCCCTCTTGAAGGTGGATCCCCGTGGACTATACTGCAGGCTCCCCTGGCTCCCAGGTCCCTCTGCTGGCCTTGGCAGTGGCCTCCCTGGGCTGCAGCAGCCCAAGGCTCTCGCTTGCTCCTTGCAGTCCTGGAGCGGTTCATCACCAGATTCTGCTCATCAGGTGCTGGGCCTGGGCCAGGAAGGGGGACTTAGCTTCCTAGGCTTAGGCGAGGCCTTCGAAGGGGTCTTGGCTGAGCGGTGCTGCTGCCAGGGCGCTTGGACAAGCCAACGCTGTTTCTGGCTGTCACAGGGCTGGGGGTGGGGGTGGCTCTGAGGATGCTCAGTGCCCTGCAATGCCCAGGATGTCCATGGGTGACGGGTGAGAAGCCTGGTCTCCGGACATACGGGAAAGCTCTGCCAGGGCCGATGCTGATGCACCCTGGAGGGAAGAGGCATTCTCGGGACGCAAGAGGGCACTGCAGCCCAGGGGGAGAGCAGGTGTAGCCGCAGGTGTGTGGCTGATGGCCAGACGGTCTGCTCAGCGTGGCCAAAGACCCAGAGTCCTGCCCGGCGGGAACCCCAGGTCCAGGGAGCAAGGCCATGGGAGGGGCCTCAGGGGGCTTGTGAGACAGGACTGTGTGAGCACATGAGTATATTCCAAGGGCTGCAGCTAACGAGAGGGTGGTAGAGTGGACTGTGGGCAGAGATAAAGCTGGCAGCCTTTGCCGTCTGAGGTGGATGAGAGCTTGGCTCTGCCCACTGGGGCTAAGAAGTTCTCCCTGCTCCCCCTCCCACTGCTTCTACCCTTTATTTTCCCACCAGAGTGTGCTTGGCCTTCAGCCCCTGGGGCAAGCCTGACCTGAAGTCCTCCTCTCAGCAGGGGCTTCAAGGCCAGTGCTTCTGCCTCTGCTGGGGGTCAGGCAGGGCACGGAGTGGCCCCAGACAGGCCAGGAGAGGGACAAGGACCCCACACACTGGACATGAATGAAACACATGCAAACGCTTAACAGCTGTTGTGGGGACAGCTACCATGCAGCCATGCCCGCCTCATTCCTCCAAGGGGACCCTGGCATGGGCCCACGGGCAGCGCCGCCTGCTCCCTCGGCAGTCAGGAGTGGCTCGGGGGTGGCGGTGTCTAAAGGGGCTGGTTGCCATGGCTACCATAGGGTTCCGAGGCCCGTCATCTGGTCCCTGCCTCAGCCAATCGGCGGCAGGAGCCCGAGCTGCAGCCCAGAGTCACGCTTCTGCCTCCCAGCCACACAGTGGCCAAGAGCAGGGACCTGCTTCCCAGAGTGGCTGAAAGTGCTCGGACGGACGGCCAAGCCCATCATGGCGGACAGCGGGACGGTGGGGCGTGAGCAGGCACACGGAGCCAGGCAGGTGAGGTAAGCCGGGCAGGCGGCCGGGCGGACAGGTGGACGCGCCTCCTCTGCCCATTGTTCTCGCGGCTGCGGCCCTGCCCTCGACCCACCCCACCCTCAAGCGCAAGCCCACACACAGCGCCCGCACCCTCACCCTCAGACCCTCTCCGGGTGTCCCAAGGAAGGGTCAGGGGAAGAGACAAAGGGAGCAGGGTGAGGCAGGATGGATCCTGACGGAACTCGGACCCCAAAACCGCCCTGGTGGGTCTTCCACGTCAGGTTTCACATAGAGGCGGCATCAAAGACCCCCGACTGGTCCAGGCCAGCGTCCCGGCCACCGCTCCAGGGTGACAAGCCATGTCAAGTCGGTGCCATTTAAGCAGCATTTTTTCGAGGGGAAAAAAAAAAAAGAAAGAAACAGAAGCGATAAAAAGAAAAAAATGTCCACCTATGACAGGGGAAGCGGCCAGCCCGATGGATCAGAAGCGCCAAATCCCATTACTCGGGACTTCAGGGACAGGCCCTGCAAGGGCAGCTGCGATTAAGAGCTTGTCAATGGAGTCTCCTTTGGAGATCAAAGCGGGGCGTGCTTGTGTGTGTGTGCATGTGCACGTGTGTGCGCGTGCATGCGTGTACGGGCAGGAAAGGACACCGTGGGGTGACAGCAGAGATGTCGTGCACCACAGCACTGTGGGACCCACACGTCGCCCGCACGGCCGTGTCCATGCCGCTTGTGTCCTTGCTGCCGTGTGCGACGTGTGTGGATGTGGCTGGGGGCCTGGGCCGGACACCTGGTCCCAACACCCGCCCCCTTTGGAAGACCTCCACCTCCTGCTAGAGGCTGTCCCTTCCCCAAGTTCTGCCCAGAGGAGCCTGCAGGGGCCGAGCCGGGTGTGAGGACAGCCGTGGCCGCGTCTCCTCCCCCTGACCACGCCCTGCTGTCCACAGAGGCCTTGAGCTCTCATTTGGCCTGGCAGGCGCGCCCTGGGGGTTCAAAGCTCCCGTCGACATGATTGTTAGGTTATTAGGTAAACTCTGAGAAGCAAATCTTTTAATCCACTGTGGCTAATCCAGTGCACTTTTGTTTGCCACGACAGACGCTGCGGCAACAAAGGGGCCTGGGGCCCAGCACACACAATCACACACTCAGAACTTGGCCGCGGCCGCAGGGTTCCTAGGCAGCCGAGAGAGACGTCTTGGGACAGCCGAGCAGAGGGAGGCAGTGGAGGGCACAGGTGGACGGGGCCACAGGTGGGCCAGGGTGAAGGGAGCTGCCCGCTGGGGGCTGCACTTCCTCACCTCCCGTTTAATGTCCCCTTGCCAGCTCGAGGGGGTACCGCTGGGCTCTGGGGTGTGCAGGCATTGGGGCCGCTGGGGAGAGTGGGTAGAAAGACAGATGAGCACCAACGGGGGGCGGCGGCGCCCAGAGAGTCCTGTGGGATGGAGGCCATCAGGGCAGGGAAGGGCGTTCAGGTGAGGGAATAGCAGGGACAAGGACTGGGATCCGTGGGGCAGGGGCAGGAGTGCCCCCAGCAAGGACAGGAAGCGGCCCAAGGCTGCCCAGGGAGGTGGGACTTCACCTGCTGCTTCCCGAAGTCAGCCCGAGGACCCTCGGGGCATGGCCCCTGCACTTGGGTGCCACCTTTTTTGGGAAAACAGCACTGAGGTTGGGGGAGGCCAGTGGGCCCTGCCCTGTACTCACGATGTGCCTGGAACACCAGAACTGGGTCACGGCCAGCCGTGGGCTCTGTCCCACCACCCAGCCTGTCAGGGAGCCAACACACCTAGCCCAGAGTCAGGTCTTGCTCTCACCCAGACTGGTAGTGGAGTGGCACCATCTTGGCTCACTGCAGCCTTGACTGCTCAGGCTCAAGCCATCCCCATCTCAGCTTTCCGTGTACCTGGGACCACAGGCGCACGCCACCATGCCTGGCTAATTAAAAACAATGCTTCTGTAGAGACGGTGTCTTGCATTGTTGCCCAGGCTAATCTTAAACCGCTGACTTCAAGTGATCCGCCCACCTCAGTCTCCCAAAGTGCTGGGATTACAGGTGTGAGCCACCGTGCCTGGCCCACATTTTCTATTTTCACGAAAAGTGGTGCTCTATGTGTGTGGCCTTGCAGCATCTCTCCGGGGTGTTATATCTCCTTGTTCTCTGTTGGGCTTGGGATGGGGGCACAGGCAGCATCTGGCCTCTCCCATGGGCTCAGAACTGATAGAAAAAGAAGACTCAGGGATGAGAGCTGGGGCTTGCCTTACACCTTACCACCTGGAAGGCCACGGAGGGTGGTGGTGGCTGTGCCTGCGATGGAAAGTGCAGTCCTCCCTCACCCGAACTCCCCCTCCAGGGGCCTCCCCTTCCTGCCCACTCCCACCTCTCACACCTATGGACTGGGTGGAGGGGTGGGGAAGCGGCAGACAGGAAGAGGCTGAACCCAAGGCTTCCCCCGGCCTCCGGTACCCTGGATCAGAATCGTCCGTCCTTTTCCCCCGGCTCCCCTTACACTGGTGTAGGGACGCTGGCTACACAGCATCCGTCTCTGCAGCTGGCTGTTTCCATCACACATCGTACAGCGGCAAACGCTCCCCAACGAATGTCCTTGGCGTGTCTTCTAGGATTCCTTTGAGTCATTTTTTATAAGTAGTCTTCCTCAGTTAAGTGGATAAACACATTTAAGGCATCAAAACTTTATTATTTTCTTTTTTTTTTTTTTTAAGGCAGAGTCTCACTCTGTCACCCAGGCTGGAGTGCAATGGCATGATCTCGGCTTAACTGCAACCTCTGCTGCCCAGGTTCAAGCAATTCTCCTGCCTCAGCCTCCGAGTAGCTGAGATTACAGGCACCTGCCACCGTGCTCAGCTAATTTTTGTATTTTTAGTAGAGACGGGGTTTCACCATATTGGTCAAGCTGGTCTTGAACTCCTGACCACATGATCCATCTGCCTCGGCCTCCCAAAATCCTGGGATTACAGGCATAAGCGACTGCGCCCGGCCTATTATTTTCTTAATTTTTATTTCTTTGAGACATGGTCTTACTCTGTTGCCCAGGCTGGAGTGCAATAGTGCAATCACAGCTCACTAAAGCCTCCAACTCCTGGGTTGAAGTGATCCACCTGCCTCGGCCTCCCAAGTAGCTGAGACCATAGGTGCGCAACACCACCCCAGCTAATTTTTAAACATATTTTAGTAGAGACAAGGTCTCACTGTGTTGCCCAGACTGATCTTGAACGCCTAAGCTTAAATGATCCTCTGGCCTTGGCCTCCCAAAGTGCTAGGACTACAGGTGTGAGCCACTGTGCCTGGCCTTTTCTTTATTTTTATTTTTATTTTTTTGAGAGAGTCTCGCTCTGTCACCCAGGCTGGAGTGCAATGGGGCGATCTTGGCTCACTGCAACCTCTGCCTCCCAGGTTCAAGCGATTATCCTGCCTCAGCCTCCTGAGTAGCTGGGACTAACGGCGCCCGCCACCATGCCCGGCTAATTTTACTATTGTTAGTAGAGACGGGGTTTCACCATGTTGGTCAGGCTGTCTCAAACTCCTGACCTCGTGATCCACATGCATCGGCCTCCCAAAGTGCTGGGATTACAGGCGTGAGCCACTGCTCCCAGCCAGTCACTTTATTTTCAAAGTATTCCTTCTGGCTGGGTGTGGTGGCTTGGGCCCGTAATCCCAGCACTTTGGGAGGCTGATGCAGGTGGATCCCTTGAGCTCAGGAATTAGAGACCAGCCTGGGCAACATGATGAAACACTGTCTCTAGCGAAAACACAAACCATTAGTGGGGTGTGGTGGCGCACACCTGTAATCCCAGTAACTCGGGAGGCTGAGGTGGGAAGATCACTTGAGAATGGAAGGTGGAGGCTGCAGTGAGTCAAAATCATGCCACTGGGCTCCAACCTGGGCAACAGAGTGAAACTCCATCTCCAAAAATAAAAAAGCATTCCCTCTATGTCTACATTGAAAAAAATAATTTCATGTCTGCTCTTAAGTTTTTCATTTGGTGCCTAGAAACAAAACCTGATTAAATGTCATCCATGGTCAATCAAATAAAAGCCTTCGTGGCAAACTCGCACTCGAAGCAAAGGGCGTTTGCCCCTTCTGTGAGGAAGAGGTGGCTGAACCTCACCCTGCACACCACAGGCCCCCACGGCCTCCTTGCCCTCCTCAGGGCCTTCCTCTACATCTCTCCTGCCTGGCCTGCCGTCTGGTCTCCCCCTACTTGTGCCAGACTCAGAGAATCTCCTCTCCATACCAACACCCCAACCTACTTTAGAAGGGCTGCTGCATTTCCTCCAGGTTTTCTGACCCCTTTCCTGTCCCTGCAGGGCAGGGGCCCCGAGGAGCTGGAGGCCCAAGGGCCTTGTTCTGGTCCCAGGGCTTGGGGACACATGCCACCGAGGGCCAAGAGGAGGATGGACATGGACACAGCCCCAAGAGCCTGGCCCGGCCGCAGCGGCAGCTCTGCAGAACCAAGGCAAGCATTGGGGACCTTGCTGGGAGTGGGGGGCAGCCCATGGGTCAGTGTCTGAGGTCCTGCTGCCTGGCCATCCAGGACTCCCTCATCCCTGGAAACTGGGCTATAGCATGGAGGCCACCCACTCTGTCTCCTCTAAGGTTCTGAGGCTGAATGGGCTGGGGGGGCTTGCAGGGAGGACCCAGTGTCCAGCATTGTGGGACCTGGCAGGGTGCTTGCTGCCAGGACCCAGCGGGACCAAGTGTTGGCCTACCAGTACAGCTTCGTTCATATCCCCAGCCCCTGCTCACCTGCTCTGAGCATGGTGATCTAGGAGGTGGGCCTGGGCCCTTGGCAGGCTGGGGACAGCCTAGTGGCCCTCATCCCTTGCTGCCCCCTTTCCCACACAGCAATGCTGGGATCGGACACCATGCTGAGTGCTGGCAGGGGCGAGGGCTGGCAGGGGCGTGGGCTCGGAGGCTTCCACACATGGTTCCCCATGCAGTCCCACCTGTGGGAATCTGGTGGGGGGTGGGCTGGCGGCTCAGGGAGCCTGGAGCTGGGACTTCTGCGCTTGCCTGGGAGCTCTGAAGGATGAGGCTGGGCACCGAGGGTGACATAGCCCAGGGAAAGACATGGGGCTGGTGTGAGAGGTGCCTGGAGGGAGCTGGGGGGTATGGACATGATGGACACAGAAGCACAGAGGCGGGCAAGTGGCCAGATGCATCTAGGGGAGGGCATGGGGGAGGCGCTGTTAGGAAGGGCCCTGAAGGGCTGTGGGCACCAGAGAGCCCTGGGAGGCCTAAAGCAGAGGGCAGATAGATGAGGGTCGTTGGCTCAGGTGTGGGGTGGACGAGGTGGGGAGCCCTCACCCAGCAGGAGGCGAGCTGGTCCTGTGTGGCCTGAACTGCAGCTGTCTCCTCTGTTAAATGGGGGTATAGCTGACCCCAGGGGGCTGCCTGGGGCGTCCTGGGAGGTGTCAGGCCCAACAGTGCTCTGGGAAGGACAGGGCTGATCCTGGTACTGACATCCTCCTCCTTGGGGGAGGCAGGGCCTGATGGTCGGCTGAGGCCTGGGTGGAGAGCAGAGGGTTGGTTCTGACAGGGTTGGGCTGGCCAGAGCTGGTGTGGGGGCTGCTGCTGGGGTCCTGTGCCTCTCTGCTGTGGGATGCCTGGGGCTGTGGCCTTGTGCTCTGTGGCCTGCAGGGCAGGTGGCACGGATCTGGGCAGCCAGGATGGCAGGATTGGACTGCACCCCTTGGCAGGGCCGCTGTGGAGACAGCCCAGGGGAGGGGCTGCAGGGTTTCAGACACTCCAATGGCCTTCCTCTCAGGCTGGCCTGGGCAGCGGAGGGAAGGAGAACCCTTCTCTGATACTAGATGGTGCCTGGGAGAAATCAAGGCAGAGGGTCCTAGCCGGTGGGCTCCTTGGAGGTTGTGGCTCCTGTCCGGGTGACAGCCAGCACATATTGGGGCCTAATGTGTTCCCTGGCGCTGTGAGTCCCGGCTGCCTGGGGACTCAGGAGGGTGGAGCCCACGCCACCTTCCAAGGGACCTGGCCATCCCTGCCTGCCGACCACCCAACTCCTGGGAGCCTGCTTCCCTCACGGCGGCTGGCAGGCCGTGGCGGTCTCCGCGGGGGCCTCCGGTCCAGGGCCGGCGGGGCAGGGAGCCCCGAGGCCTGCAGCCCCCTGGATGCCCACCGATGTACTGGCGGCAGAAAAGGGCTGCGCCCCGCGTGCGCCCGTCGGGGCGGGCAGTCCGCCCAGCGCTCCCCACGGTCGCAGCCATTCCAAGCACCTGCAGCGGCGCCTCCCCCACTCCGCACTCCGGGAAGCCGCAGCCGCCGCGGCTCCGCTTCCGCGTAGCCCCTCGGGAAGACCGCGCGACCACGCCCCCGCCGCGCCCCGCCCCCGGCAGGGGCTGACCACACCCCTCTCCCGCGCACGCAGAGGCCCTGCCCCATGCTTCTCACCTCGTCCTCGCTTCCGGCCCCGCCCCGCGCACGAGGCTCCGCCCCACGCTCGTTACCTCTTCGGCTCGAGGCGGGCCCCGCCTTGCTCCCTGGCCGCAGCCCCACTCCCAAGGCCCCGCCCTGCGCTGTTCACCTCGTCTTCTCGCTTCCGGCCCCGCCCGTGCTTGGGCCCCTCCCTGCGCTCCTCACCTGTCCAATCGCTGTCTGCCCCGCCCCACGCTCCTCACCTTATCCTCGCGCTTTCAGCCACGCCCCGCGCCTGAAGCCCCGCCCCACGCTCTTTACCTCGTCCCCTCGCTGTCGGCCCCGCCCCGAGCTGAGGCCCCGCCCCGCGCTCTCACCTCGTCCCCGCGCCCCGGCCCCGCCCCCGCACTTCCGGGCGCCGCCGGCGGGGGCGCTCGGGCCTGGGCTTCGGCGCTCTGGGCTCGGGCTCCGGCTCCGGAGGCAATCGTGGCCGCTGCCGCCGCCAGAGCCGGCCGGAGTCGACCCGGAGCCGCGTCCACGCGGAGCGGGCGGGTGGGAGCTGGCGGCTGGGCCCCTGCGGCGCCTCCGCGGCCTGCCCCGCGTCCGCCCCCGGGCCGCCGAGCCGCAGCCGCCGAGATGGGGGCCGCCCCGGGCCGCGCCCCCGCCGAGTCCCGCCCGCCGCGCTGCCGCTGAGCGCATGGGCCGGGCTGCGCCGCGCCGCTCCGGGAGCCGGGCCCGGGGCCCCGCCGCCTCCGCGCGCGGGTGAGTAGGGCCGGGCGCCGGGGCGGGCTAGGCCGCGCTAGGCCGGGCGGGCGGGACCCGGAAGCGGCGGGGGGCGCGGGTGGCTGACGCGCGTGGGGCCGAGGGGGTGGGCTCGCGGGGAGCTGGGGCAGGGGTGTCCCTGGGCAGCGAGACCGGCGGCGCGGGGGCCGCTTGGAGTTCCGAGGCCTCGGGCGCGTCTGGGGGCGCGGAGCAGCTGCAGGGGCCGCGCATCGCGTGCGGGAACTCCGGGAGAGCCGGGCCTGGAGCCCTCCCCGCCTCCCAGAAGTCGGCAGGAGTCCGGCTGCCCCGGAGGAGGGCACTCCCGCCCGCCCTCGCCGAGGCCGCGTACCGGGTCCAGGTCGCGGTGCGGCCTGAGTAGCCGCGTGCTCAGGCGTTCGTGCCCTCCAGGTTTGATGCCTCGCTGCCCAAACACTCGTCTCTCTCTTGGGTGTGGTTCCTAGATTCTACCTCCCGCCCGGCACTTTGGAATTTAGCCCCCAGTGAAACCAGAGCTGCATTGCCTGAGCAGTGAAACTTTCGGCTTGGCATTGAAGAAAGTAGAGAAAAACATGTCAGTTCTCTAGGGATTTTTCTCAGCCCATCTATAAGGTAATTTTTTTTTTTTTTTTTTGTAGAGATGAGGTGTCACTATATTGCCCAGCAAGTGTTGTTGAACTCTTGGCCTCAAGCGATCCACCTGCCTCAACCTGCCAAGGTGCTGGGACTACATGCGTGACCACCGCCCCCTCTAAGATAATTTTTTTTTTTTGAGACGGAGTCTCGCACTGTCGCCCAGGCTGGGAGTGCAGTGGCGCGATCTTGGCTCACTGCAACTTCCACCTCCTGGGTTCAAGCAGTTTTCCTGCCTCAGCATCCTGAGTAGCTGGGATTACAGGCATGCGCCACCACGCCCGGCTAATTTTTCTATTTTTAGTAGAGACGGGGTTTCACCGTATTGACCAGGCTGGCCTGGAACTCCTGACCTCAGGTGATCCGCCCACCTCGGCCTACCAAAGTGTTGGGATTACAGGTGTGAGCCACCGTGCCTGGCCCCTTCTAAGATAATTGATAAAGGGTGCAGTGCAATAGTGCGATCTCTGCTCACCGCAATCTCGGCCTCCCAGGTTCAAGCGATTCTCCTGCTTCAGCCTTCCCAAGTAGCTGGGATTATAGGCATGTGCCACCAAACCTGACTAATTTTGTATTTTTAGTAGAGTTGGGGTTTCTCCATGTGGGTCAGGCTGGTCTCAAACTCCTGACCTCAGGTGATCCGCCCACCTCGGCCTCCCAAAGTGCTGGGATTACAAGGGTCAGCCACCACACCTGGCCTCAGTTTCAGTTTTAAGATCTCCATTCGGGGACAAGGATGGGAAAGCATGAAAAACAGTGTTTTTGTTTGATTTTCAGCTGGTGTTGACTTGGATTTCTAGTTTCAGAAAAGCTAAGCAGACTTTTTCGGATTACATTAGTCACTGAGAATTTCAGTGATGGGGGAACAAATTACATGTGAAATAGTAGCCCTGAACCTTCAAGAGTTAAATCAGTGGACAGCTGGGAAGATGTCAGAATCGTGCTGTTTTACTTGCATCCTCCATGTAAATCAAAATTTCAAAAGTTAAGTTTGGGTAAAATAAATACCTACACACGTAGGTAGCACTGAGTTTGCTGCCATGGTGCCTGGGGCATATGCCTAAGCAGTGATGAAAGGGAATTTTAAATACGATATCAGACTTGTAGGCATCCTGCCCATTTTATGGACTCACTTTATTGATGGTAGCTACAGGCTGTGGGCCAGATTCAGTGCTTGCGGGCATTTGATGCTAACCTGAGTAAACATAACTGTTTTATGTGTGGTGTCTATGTGTGTGTACACTAAATGCTTGGTGTGCTTCCATGTGGAAACCCAGAGATTTCAGGAATTGGGATATGTTTTAACAACATCAGTAACTTGTGGAGGGGTTCATGTGCTTCCAGGGACACCAAAAAGTCTTCTGTCAGTTGACAGCCCAAAATACACATGATTATAAAAAAATTTTCTCCTGGGCTCTGAAAAATAGTTTAAAATAATTAAGGTGGACTTGGTTCACACATGAATTAAAACATTAGTTTTGGGGCCAGGCAAGGTGGCCTGTAATCCCAACTCTTTGGGAGGCCGAGATGGGCAGATTGCTTTGAGCTCAAGAGTTTGAGACCAGCCTGCCCAACATGGTGAAACCCCATCTCTACAAAAAATACAAGAATTAGCCGGGCGTTGGTGGCTCCTGCTTGTAGTCCCCGCCATATGAGAGGCTGAGGCTGGAGAGTTGCTTGAGCCTGGGAAGCTGAGGCTGCAGTCAGCTGAGCTCGCCCCATTGCACTCCAGCCTGGGCGACAGAGCGAGACCCTGTCTCAAAATAACAAAAACAAAACAAAACAACAAAACCCATTAGTTTTGGAAGAATTTGCTGCTGTTTTCTGTAGTACAGTAGTTCAGCATCTGTAGAGAGCCAGTGTTTGGCATCTGTGACAAATGTCTGTCTTTTTTACATCAATGAATTAAATCAAAGAATTAAATATCATTGAATTAAAAATCAATGAATTAAACATTCATTGATGAATATTCAAGCTAGTGAATGGCAGCGCATCTATCACGGTAAGGCTCAGGTGGTCAGGGTGCAGGCCTTCTTTCCTGTGACGGCGTCCCAGACAGATGACCGTGAGCTAGTGTGGAGGTGCCCACACCTAGGGTGCTCCCTCCATGCTGATAGGGCTCACAGAGTGGCTGCCGCTGAAGTGGTGTGTGAGCAGCAGGATAGCACAGCTCACTGGGCCTTGACCTTTAGAAGCTGTGTTCCTGCTGAGACCAAGATGACACACTACCCAGCAGCGTTCCCAAAAAGTCCTTAGCTGCTGAAATGTCACTGGGGGCACATAGTTGCAACCCATCCTCCATCTATAGGTACTTCTTATTTATTTACTAATTTTATTTTATTGTTTTAGAGACAGGATCTTGCTCTGTTGCCCAGGCTGGAGTGCAGTGGCATGCGATTATAGCTCACTGCACCCTTGAAGTCCTGGGGTCAAGGGATCCTCTTGCCCCAGCTTTCCAAGTAGCTGGGACTACAGGCATACACCACCATACCTGGCTAATTAAGAAAGTTTTTTTGTAGAGATTGGGTCTCACTATGTTGCCCAGGTTAGTCTTGAACTCCTGGACTCAAGGGATCCTCCAGCCTCAGCCTCCTGAGTAGTTGAGACTACAGGTGCGTGACACCATGCCTGGCTCTGTGGATCCTTCTTGCTTCCAGCCAGGAGCAGCTGTTGGCTGGTAAAGTGTGTGCAATGTGAGGAAGTTGATGTGGGGGACAGATTCCATGTAGACCAGGGACAGCAGTGTGGAGTGGTGGCTGGGAGATCCCCCTTGAGTTGGTCCTGGGTTTTAGGGTTTTATTTGTTCCCCGTGGCTTGTTCAGCACTCCAGGCTTTTGAACCCAACATGCTTCTCTAAAGCCCTCTCTCCAGCCCCTTTTAGCCAGGACCACTTACATCATGGCAGGCTGTGTGGCAGTCACCTGCGTGGCCAGGTTGAGAGGCATAGCCAGAGCTCCTGGGCTCCTATAGTTCGTGGCAGGAAGGACCACAGACCATGGCAGGGGTTCTGTTGGAGCCCTTACCTAGTCTCTTTTGCATACTCCTTGCAGGCTTGTAGCAGCAGCAGCAGTAGTAGCAGCAAATTCTATAGTTCTCTGATGTCTAAGAGGGTGGGTGGTTCGGTTTTCAGCTTAAGGAGTGAAGTCACATGAACTATAGCTTCCTTAGCTACAAACTGTATTTGCATTTCCTTTTATTCTGTACCTTTTCTGTTCCTTAAGTTACCCATTTACTATTTGCTATCTGAATCCTCATCAGAGAGGCTTTTAAGAGTCAAGTGCAGCATTCTGATAGAGCGTGTTAAGATTGTCTCCAGTGGCGGTGTCCGAGCGCCTCTGGGCGTGGGTGGTGTCCATGATCCCCTGGTTGATGGGGCTGAAGGTGACCCATGATTATCTCTCTTTGAGGCGCGTGTTGAGAGTTGGAGGAACACCGTGCCGTGTGTTCTCATGTGTTGCAAGGTGTACCGCGTGTGACGTGACGCAAAGGCGGAAAACAGTGGCCTTGAGCCTGGAGGATGTGGGGTTCAGAAGACGCCCACCGCCTTCGGGGCTGCAGCGCGCCTTCCTTTCTCTCTGAGTGTTGTTGGGGCTGGTGGAGTGATTGTCTCCATCTTGCTTGTGACGGTCCAGCCCTCACTCAGGTTTATACACATAGCCAGGACTAGAGGCAGCTTTCCTGCCTCCGGCCTTCCTGTCTTCCCTGTCACTCAGCTCTGCAGCTGAGGTGGGAGGTGCTCAAGCTGCCAGCCTCCGTGATGTTCATGCAGTGAGACTTGTGGGGAGTGGCATTCCCGTGTCCTGGGCATCCCTTCTTAG